TGCCCAGGCTGACCTAAATTCACTGTGTAGCCCAGAATATCCTTTAACTCACAACATTCCTTCTTCCTCAGCTTCCCAAGTGCTAGAATCACATCTCTAACTATAATGCTCCTTAAGGCAACTCAATAAAGATCCCATTGTTAAGAGAAGTGGTATCACAACCTCAACCAAGAGAGAAAGGGCCTCACCTCACCTTTCCCTTGGAAACACACAGCATAGCTGTACTACCTGCTGGTTAGAGACAGTTGTGTCCCAGCCACTGCCCTTCTCCACCTTCAAGAAATGGCAGGAGAGTGGCTCTCTCTGGGGCTCTCAGGGACTTCCCTCACTGTGTGGCTTAGGACTTTTTTTTAAAACAAGAGTTTCAGAAAGCAAGAGAGTGTAACCACGTCTTCCTGTTGCTAACCTTTCTGCCAGCTTCTCCTATCAGGAGAAAGAAGAAAACGTAGCATCTCTAAACCCAGCGTTAACTCTCACATCCCCTTTCCACCTCAGGTCTATCCTGGGGCCACACAGAGCTATTCTGTTTGACCCTGGAGCTAAGTAGTACTGTACAGTTAACACTGTGTGGACCTTAGCAATGCCTGACTGGGCTCAATGGTCTACACTTACCGTGTATACTTCTCTGCCATTTAGTTCTTCCACAGTGGACATGGTTTGTTGTCTGCCCTATCATTACTCTGCTGAAACTGCTCTTGCTGAGTGTGGGTGTGTATTTTTTTCTTTCCCTTTTTTTTTTTTTTTTTTTTTTTTTTTTTGAGACAGGGTTTCATGTGTTCCCAGGCCAGTCTCAAACTGACAATAACCTTCAACTTCTTTACTTGAGACAGGGTCTCATTACATAGCCATGACTGGCCTGGAACTTACCATGTAAATCCTCCTACCTTTGCCTGAGATTGAAGGCTTGTGCTACCATGCCTGGAATGCCAGAAATCTTGAACTTTTGGTCTGCCTGGGTTGTGTGAGATAAGGGTGTACAGCACCATGCCTGACCATCACCCTCATTTTTCATCTCCTGGTTGTAATTACCTTTCTAATTGTCTGCCTCACCCACAGCAATGAAAGCTCCTTTAAAATAGCTACAAGTGCTTACTAATTTCCACCTCTACTGCCTACCACAGGTACACTGTAGGTAGACAAGTACTTGATAAATTAATGAACAAGCAAGCAAGCTTTCCCGAAGCCCTTAAGAGTAAAACATCTTAAATAAGATTTCACCTAGTTTCTGTTTTGTTTTATTTTTTGAGGGAGGCAAGGAGGAGTGAGGAGGGTCTTGTGTGTCCCTGCCTAGCCTTGACCTCCAGGTATAGCTGAGGATGGCCCTGAACTCCTGATATTCCTGCCTCTACCTCCAAAGTGCTGGAGTTTCAGGGATGTGCCACCATGCCTGGATCTGGTTTCTAACTTAACTGTGGAGGTACCCAAGTTCATGGACAAATTTCCTGTGTAAGTTCGTGGACAGAAAAGCAGGTGCACAGACATCTACTGCCAGACGTATTCAGATGTGCTGGCTCTTCTATCTTGGTGCTGTGGAAAGTGTTGCTGGAGGAGGCTAGGAACAGGAGCAGATTGCTGGCTTACATGACACTTCTAGGAGGAAGGCTCCAGTGTGGCAGAGGATAGCTAAGGGGCCATGGGGAGAATGTCGGGACTTGAATGTCAGGGTTTTGTTTTGAAGTTAAATCTCCTTACCACCGCCTATTTAGAATTACTATCAAGGACGGAGACCCTTGATGGGTACAAAAGGTTAGCAGAGAGTGAGAAACCTCACATCTACACAGTAGTGTGTAGCACAGGGTGGAGAGAAGGAAGGAAACAGTGGCCCATATTAACACTGTGGCCAGTAGCTGACGCACTCCTTCAACAAAGCTGTCCTATACTGTTGGACTAGGCAATACTCCTCAGAGGAAGGCAAGAACACATCTGATTTAGAATATTTCAATAAACATAAAAGTTAAAAAACACACAAGAACCTTCTATGATTTAAAATAGGGTATCTCTATTTTCTTTCTTCCTAGTGGAAGATGCACAGGAAGCCTTAGAAAGTGACCTTTGTCACACAATGCAAGGACAGAGCTCAAGTTCATCTTATGTCCCATCATGCTGCTCTTGTCCTGTCTGGGGTATAGGTAAGTATAAACATGGCTACAAATGTCACTTAGCAATGACTAAAACAAGGATGTCAGAACCCACAGATGTCTCTGCTTGGTAATATGATAAGGTTGTGTTTGCTGAGTACTGACTGTGTGTGAGAGTCAGTACTAAACACTCTTAGGTGCAACTTCTCAAACCCAGTCTGAGCAAGCCTCCAAGGAAGGGAGTGGCCTCATTTAAGACTAGGTAGAAGATCAGAGAGCTTCAGCAATCTAGCTAGCTTTTCCTTCCTAACAAACCTAAGAGGACTCTAGGAATTTGATTCTATTGTTCAGTACTTTCCCAGGCCCTCTTTCCTAGGTTTTCAATCTAGCAGCGAGATTCTAGCTTATGATCTACTTTTTTTTCCCAGCTGCAACAGTACATCTGCGCTGGCTGGTGAACACACCTGGGGCACATTAGTTAATGAAGCTCGAGTACATCAGGCAATCTTAATGTCACTGTTTCAAACAATCACTACTATGTAGCATTTTTAAGTTATACTACTAAATAAAATTTTATATTTAAATAAAATTGCCTCTAACCCCATTATCATGTGCTAGTTTCAAAAAAAAAACTCTATGGAGTTGGGGGTATAACTTAGTTGGTAGAGCGCTTGCCAAGCATGCACATAGCCTAAGGTTCAGTCCCCAGCACCACATACACCCAGGTATGGTAGCACAAGTCTACAGTCCCAGCACTTGAGAGACGGAGGGAGGAGGATTAGAAGTTCAAGGCTGTCCTTGGATTCATAGAAAACTGGGAGGTCAACCTGGGCCACCTGAGCTACAAAAGACTCTTTCTGAAAACAAACACTCCCCTCAAAAACAAACAAAAAACTGTATGTGGGGTTTTTTTTGGTAAATAAAGTAATTCAAAAATCATATGTACTTTTGTTTGAAATTACGGGAGACCTTAGGAAGGCTGTTAAATACTTCAAAGGTCTGGGAAAAAAATACAACTGGAAATTACATCCCGTGAAAGTCTCCAGTTGGGAAAGGTGAATACTACATTCTTTCAGCATCCTGGAGATTATTTTCTGGGAAGGATAATGGATATAGTTTACAGCCTTCATTTCAGAATCAACAGTGAAAGATCAAGGTAGCAAAGACTGGAAAAATATTTTCGGGAAAACTTTCAGAACTCTCCCTTTCTATTTTGAAAATACCACTTCCTGTAAGAGGAGGGGTTTGTAATTACATAAGCCATTGGTTCTCCTAGGTGTGTCCAGGAGGCAGATTACAGTGCTGGGCTCTCCTTTCTATCACTCTTCTCATAGCCTTCCACATAAAAGGGAAGCGTTAATAAAGAATAAAACAACCAGCCAAGATAAACTGGATCCCCCCACCACGCAACAAAAAAATTTAAGAGCAACAGAATTTTGTTGTTTTATATATATAAAGGGTCCTAGAGGAAAAGCTCTCCCAAGGAATATAATAGACTATGAAGAATTAGACTTCGAAAAGCATAGGGAAGAAAGCTTTAAATATTGACAAAATGTATGCCAGGCATGAGGTTCCCATTGGACATCCCAGCCCTTGGCAGGTGGAAGAGGCAGGAGGATCAGCTGAAGATCATCTTCTGCTATTGAGAGAGTTTGAGGCTAGCCTGGACGACATAAGACCCGGCTCCACAAAAAGAGACAAATTGGTAAGTTTGAATCCTTAAAAGGCCCAGCTCCCAGACATCATAAAACATTAATAAGGAACTCTCTGACCAGTCCTGTCTTCATGAAATGTGAAGCACGAGTAATATGAGAAGATAGAACCACAAGTCTAATAGTTATCCCATAATGAGCGCAATTTTATAGTCATAGAAAGTGCGCTAGCGATTAAAACATAGCCAGAGATGGGGCACTAAATTGGATTAAAACGGGAAAGAAAATACTGTTTTTCTTAAGATTTCTAGAGGTTAGATTACAGGCTCTGGCCAGATAGCAACAGGAGCTAAGCACCGTTCCAACCAACCACAGGAAAACAGCTCGGGTTGGGGAGGGGGGAGTGAACTGATTATATGAATGGGGCATTGAGGGAGCGAGGCTGAGGGAAGGAGGGAAAACCACCAAGGGTGATTATGTCGAGTTCAGGATGCACTAATTAATCTCTCCCAACTGGAAAACGCTGGGAGGGGGCAAGACAGAGCAAAAAGAAAAAAGCACGGTAGTTTCTTCACTTATTTCGACCTGCAGGTCAGGGCTTGCACTCCTTGGAACCCCTAGCAAACACGGTGACCCCGGGAGTGAAAATTATGCAAGGGAGAAGAAGGCCTTTGCTAGAAAACTGCAGCCCGGTGCGCCCCAATGTCCTGGCGGGGTGCCAAGGGCCCGAGGCACACTGGTATCTATGGCAGGTGTTTCGTGAGTGCTCGTGGACTTCTGAACTGAGGCTGGGCGGCGGGACTACGTGCGGCGACAAGCAGGCGGCGGCGGCGGCCAGCCCAGGACTTACCTTGCTGTCATCCATCTCCGCAGACAGGCCGGCCCGGCCTGGCGCCCTCCCGGCCCTCCCCCGCCTCAGCCGGCCAGGCCCGGCCCCCGCCCCGGGGAAGAAGGGGATATGGCTCTGAGTGCCTCCTCCTTCGCCTAACAGTTCGCTTCCCTGAAGCCACGGTCACGGGGACCCGGACCAGTTCAGGAATGGCAGAGCGGACCCTGGAGGCTGCCCCAGGCGCCGCCCCACTCGGCCACCGCCTCCTTCACCCGCCCCATGACAGGCCCCCGGCGTGTTTACAGAGGTGCTGGCTGGCCGCCCAACCCAAGGGGGGCGGGGCTCTGCTGGCCAATTGGCCTCTTCGGCCGCCATAGCACGGCGGAATTCTGGGAGTTGTAGTTTTACTTCTCATAGGCTCTGAGAGGCTAACTGCAAAGGGAACTACGACGTCCAGGTAGCCTCTGCTGGCTTGTATGTTTTCCTGTGGCTTAGGAGCGCCCTGGAGGCGGACCTGGACCAAGACTACAACGCTTAGTCTTAATAATGTTTTGGTTGCCGTAGGGTGGGACGTTGCAGAGAAGGGAGACAGGTCGAGGCCCTGCCGAGGCCGAGCTGGAGGTGGAGAACTGGAAACAGGCCCTCTTCTGGGAAGCTAGGGCAAATGCTTTTCCTTCTCCCCGCGCCGGCCCACGGTAAAGCCGGGCAGCTGCTTTGGGAAACAAGTGGGCAGTGATCCATTTTGTAAGGAAATGTCCAGAATTGCACAACTAAAGAGACCAGTCCGTTAGTTGCCAAATGCTGGGACTGAGGAATGCCCGAGAAGGAGAGGAATTCTGGTTTCTTTTTGCAGGGGTGAAAAACGGTCTGAACTGATTTTGGTGATGTCTGCACGGTACTGTGAATAAGCTAAAAGGTCTGTTACTGAGCATTTCAGTCAAGTTATAAAGAGAACACCTGAGTGTCTCTTAAATCAGTAAGCCACTTTGTTAATGGTTATTGTCAGCTTCTCCTGGGCTTTGAGAACTGGCCAAAGATTGTAATTTTTATCTGTTACTTCTGAAAAGCCTTGAGCTCGTACTTTACAAAGACTTCCAAAGTACCCTTTTCGAAATTCGACTGAGGTGGCACTCCAGAAATTAGTACTAAATATCTAGGATATATAGTTAGATTTGTATTTTAGTTGTGTGTGTCTGTAGACGTTTTGTGTGGGTGTGTCATATGCATATGTGTGTGCACATGCATGTGTATGTGCATTTGTGTAGAAGTCAGAGATGAACCTCAAATGCCCTTCTCCATATTGACTGACATTTTTGACCCAGGGTCACAGGGCTATCTGGCTAGTGAGCTCTTTGAAGCGATCCACCCATCTCTGCCTCCTTGGCACTGAGGTGACAGGTGTGGGGGCACAGCTTTTTACATAGGTCCTGGGGGTCTGAACTCATGTCCTCATAATTGTGCATCTATCCCTGTAGCCCTCTCTCCTTTTTTGATAGAGACTAGAACTTAATATGTAGAACAGGCAGGCCTCACGCTTGAGGCATTCCTCTGGCCTTTGCCTCCCAAATGCTGGTGTAATAGGTGTTTGCCACCATTCCTGGCATAATAAGACATACTGGTTAATTTTTTCAGTTGTAAAATTTTTATTTTGTGTATGGGTGTTTTGGATGCATTTCTGTCTGCACCCCATCTGCATGCAGTGCCCACAGATGTCAGAAGAGGGTGCCAGAACCCTTGGAACTTGAGTTAAAGATGGTTGTGATCCACTGTGTGGGGGCCTGGGAATTGAACCCACGGTCTTCTGGAAGAGCAGCAGTGCTCTTTACCAGTGAGACATCTCTCCAGTCCCTGCTAAGATACTCTTTTTTTTGAAAAACAAATTCTTTGATTTTCAGTCAACTAGAATGTAAGTGGGCAGCCTCTCTTTCACCTGGTTCAAACAGGAAGGTTGAATGGTCTTTGTCAGAGCCGTGTGAAGATTTAGGAGAACTAGAGAAGATCCGTTTTTTCCCACAGTGGCACCTCATACCCAGATCTTGACATTAGAAACAGGTCTGGCAGGCTGGCCCTGCTGTGGTCAGGCCCAGCCAGACCATCCCAGCTGGCATTTCTAGTGATGAAAGGGGCACCTAGTGTTGTCCTTTCTAATGATTAGGAGACCGAATCCTTAGAGACCAGAGAGGCGGCTCAGTGGTAAAGGCATCTGTTGCCAAGCTTGATGATCTGAGCTTGATCCCTGGAAACCCACAGCATGGAAGGAGAGAACTGACTGCTGCAAATTAGTCTCTGACTTCTACTAACACACACGCCACACCCCTTGTGTAGGGTGGCTTTCCATCTCTGCTTTTTTAAAAAATAAATAAGTAAACAAACCAAAAAAACTAAAACTAAAGCACCGACTCTCCTCCTGGTATAGCTCTGTTGGTGGAGTGCTTCTCTAACGTGTGAAGCACTGAGTTTAAGACCAGGACCACATAAAAAACAGGTGTCCCAAATCTTCAGAGTTAGAGGTCATCCTGGGATACACAAGACCTGTCTTAAAAAAAAAAAGAATAAACAAAAAGGGAAAGGGGGAAACTAAAGTGATAGCAGATGAGAGAAAATCAAAGGGATGTGCTGTCAGTCTGTGTCAAGGAAGAGGGACCCTCCTGCTGCCACCTGCCAAGTTCAGGATTCCAGGCAGATGCCACCAAGTCCAGGTTAATCTTTTTCTACAGTGTCTTCTCAAATGAAACACGTGCAATTCCTTTGCGGGGGGGGGGGGGGGGGGGGGGGGGGGGGGGGCAGGGGAGGGGGGCCTCGGGCACGAATTTCTCCTTCTTTCATTCCTTCTTCTGTACACCACATTTGCATAGTCTACTACTGGACACCCACTGAGAGGCACTGTTGGCTTAGGGTGCATTAAGCCTGACCGCAGCTGCCGAGCCTTCCTACTGATGCCTTGCCCAGAAAGGTGCTCACCCTTCCTTGGTCTGCCTGCTCTCCATTGCCTTCTCCCTCCCTTTCCTTCTGTCCCTCACTTGCCTTTGGTGGTTCTCTTACAGCTGGGCTCAGAGAGCACAGGTGTCTAAACAAAGCCAGGATGATACCACTCTCTGAGGCTCACAGATCTGCTAGAGCACATGTAATATGGAGAGGAGGTTCATTACGGTGGGTTGTGAATGTGGAGGTGGCTCTGCATGCCTTTAATCCTAGCACTTGAGAGGTACAGGCTGGAGAATCCAGATTTCAAAGTCATCCTCAGCAATATAGCCAGTTCGAGGCTAGCCTGAGGTACATGAGACCTTGCCTCAAAAAAGAGTCTTCCCATTAAGTATGTGACTGAAAACTTGCCCTGCCTTTTCCTAACTTTCATTGAAGATAAAATTTTTTGATGCAAATTTGGCATTAATATAGTCTAGAAATATCAGTCTTTTTTAAAAAGGCCTACCAAAGAGGTGTGTGTGTGTGTGTGTGTGTGTGTGTGTGTGTCTTAGTTGATAGAGTGCTTGCTTTACATGTACAAAACCCTGAGTTCAATCCTTACAACTCCAGCCCTGCATAAACCAGTGTGGTGGTGTAGGCCTATAATCCCAGTATTCAGGAGGCAGAGGCAAGAGAATCAAGAGTTCAAGGGCAGCCTTAGCTACCTATGGAATTAGAGGCCATCCTGTCTCAAAGAAAACAAACAAACAAAAAGAGAAAGGTGGCCATGAAATTCCTCGTGTTAATGTCTTCCTAACGTGAGTTTCCATGTGTAGGTTTTGTTCTGTTTTTTGTGTGTTTGTTTGTGAGACAGTCTGCCTCACTATGTAGTCCTAGCTAGTACTGAACTTGTTTCCCCTGACTCCTGAGTGCTGGGATTTCAGGCATGTGCCACCGTGCTCCACAATGTGTTTTTCCTATGTTTTAGTTTATGTTGCTGGGCATCAAGCCCGTGGCTTTGGGGAGCAAGCCTTTGCTCTACAGGTGAGCCCTTCACCAGTCTACCTTCTGAACCGTGTTACCAGACATCATGAATTTCTGTTTCCAGAGGCCATCCAGAAATGGCTGCTCCTGATTTCTCCTTCTCTGGCCTATCTTTAGAGAGTGGACAGTCTGTACTGAGTGTTAAGATGTTAAAATGTAGCATGGTTTACACAATGAATTTGTACATTGTGCAAACCACGACAGAAAGGAGAAAGGAAAGGAGGGAAAAAAAATACCAATTGAAGAGAGGAAGGGGGTGGAATGAGATTAAGAGAGGAGGCGAAGGGAACAAAATTTAACCTTATCAGAGAAGCCACGACCAAGGGAACAGTGCAGTATTCTACATTCGGGAATGCTGGGGCTATTGAGATACAAATCTGGCACTTGAACAACAGGGTATTATTGCTGCTGATACGGTAATCTTCAGAGGTGCGGGAGGAAAAGTGGGTGGGTCACGTGACATTCATGAAATGCTTGAGGTGAACTCACTGCTCAAGTATTAGTCACGTTTTGTTTTGTGTGCGGTTCCCCTTCCTGATTTACTTGACAGAGAAGTAGTCCTCTGCATTCATTGTTTCCTAAAACTTTAGCTTATTTTCAACAATGCTTTAAAAAGTTTGTTGCTGTTCTAAAGATGTTTGGCCACATGCCTTGCCCCCTTTTGGCCTACTCGAACAAATATGCCTACATTTACATACATACATACACACCTACTTAACTCTCTGCATTGACTAGAAGTTCTGAGACAAGAGTCTGGAGGATCATGGTCAGAGTGAGTGAGTAATTTGGCCTCTAGCTTTCAGAAAGAACAAAAGGATAGGAAGAAAGAAAAGGAAAGAGATGGGGGAGAAGGGAAGGAGGGAGGGAGTGTGGGAGGCCGAGGAGAGCAGGGAATGTTAGCATCCCTGTACTGTAATCCCAGCACTCAGGAGGCAAAGGCAGGTTTGCCACAATTTGAGGTCAGCTTGGGCTACATAATGAATTTAAGGCCCATTTGAGTTAATACACATTGAAATCCTGTGTCAAAAGCCAGGTATAGTAGCGTGTACCTATAATCCCAGCACAGGATTGCCACAGAGATCAGGCCCATATGGTCTACGTGGCTAGTTCAGGCCAGCCAAGGCTACAAACAGGGGACTGGCTCAAAAAACAGCAGAGGAGCTGGAGAGACAGCTCAGTGGTGAAGTGCTTGCTGAGCAGGATGAGGCCTGAGTTCGGATTCCAGCACTGGTATAAAAGCCAGGTACAGCTGAGTGCATCTGTAGCCCCAATGCTGGTGTCTTAGGGTTGCCATTGCTGTGTGGAAGCACCATGACCAAAGCGGCTTGGGGAGGACAGGGTTTATTCCACTCACAGCTCCATATGACGGCAGGAACCTGGAGCTGATGCAGAGGCCATGGAGAGTGCTGCTTACTGGCTTGCTCCCCATGGATTGCTCAGCCTGCTTTTTTTTTTTTTTTTTTTCCCTATTTCAAGACAGGGTTTCTCTATGTAACAGCTCTGGCTGTCCTGGAACTCACTTGTAGACCAGGTTGACCTTGAACTCACAAAGATCTAACTGCTTCTGCCTCTCTAGTGCTGGAATTAAAGGTGTGCGCCACCACGCTGGCTCAACCTGATTTCTTATAGAACTCAGAGCCACTAGTCTAGGCATAGCACTGCCCGCAGTGGGCTGGGCCCTCCCGCACTGATCACTAATTAAGAAAATGCTTTACAGCTACATCTTATGGAGACAGTTTCTCAACGGAGGCTCTCTGGTGACTCTAGCTTGTGTCAAATTGACATAAAACTAGCCAGTATAGCTGGGTAGGCAGGGAATGGCAGAACCCAGAGGCTCACTGGGCCACCAGCCTAACCCAAGTGGCATGCTCCTGGTACAGTGAGAAACCCTGTCTCAAAAATAAAGTCGCAATCAATCGAGGGAGCCAACTGACGCTGACCTCTGACCTCCACATGCTTATATGCCCCAACAATAAATAAATATACTATGTGTTTTCTAAAAACTAAAGCCCAGAAGTTTTGAAACTATTGCTGACCTGAAGGGAAAGTGAGAGTCAATCACCAGCAGAAAAATAGGGAAGAGAAGACGAACCAAAGAACCAAAACCTCCCCAATCCAAACCTTCAGCCACCTCTTCCTCCTCAGCAGGGTACTAAAGCTTTGCCTCAGACTCAAAGTCTTGTTAGGTAGCCCTGCTGGCCTTGAACTGGCTCATGGCAATTGTTCCTGACCCAGCCTCCTCAGTGAGCCACCATACCTGGCTTATGATCTCTATTTTAAATTCTACCCCCTTTCTACTTGAAATACTGCTGTTTTTTTATGAGCCATTATCCCCCACCCAGTAGAAAAAAATAAAACGTGCCCTTATTTGAGGAGACAGTAGGACACTCCTTTAGGTAAATAGCAACTGTTCAAACTGTACGACTGTGGGCCACCATGCCTGGTGAATGTTGTGCTGGGGAATCCGACCCAGACCTTCATGAAGGCTAGGCAAACACTCTACCAATTGGGCTGCACCCCTGCTCAGCTCCCCCATTTCTGAGGGGAAAATGTAAATTAAAATTTATTATTAGAGTCAGGTATGGTGGCTTATAACCTGTAATTCCAGCACTTGGGAGTCTGAGGCATGATGATCACCAAGAGTTTGAAGTCAGCTGGTGCTATGGTCTGAGACACTGTCTCAAAAACAATCGAACAATAAAAGTTGGGTGGCATACACTTTTAATCCTAACACTCAGGAGGCAGAAGCAGGCAGATCTCTGTGAGTTCCAGCCCAGCCTGGTTCAAATAGTGCATTCTAATCTAGCCAGAGATTCACAGTGAGATTCTGTCTCATAAACAAAACCAATCTTTTTTTTTTTTAATTGTCTGGAGGAATAGCTCAATGATTAAGAATGCTTCCTACTACTCCAGGTGATTGGAGGTCAGCTCCCAAAACCCAGGTCTAGGGGTTTACAATCACCTGTGACTCTAGATCTGGGGGCAGTTGTGGGGGCGGAATCTGATGCCCTCTGCTGGCTTCTAAAGGCACTTGCACACATGGCATACATTCATAAAAACACACACCTGAATTTAAATTAAAAAAATCTTTTAGCCTGTAATCCCAGCACTTGGGAGGCAGAGGCAGGTGGATCTCTGTGAGTTCGAGGCCAGCCTGGTCTACAGAGTGAGTTCTAGGACAGTCAGGACTGTTTCACAGAGAAACTCTGTCTCACAAAACAAAACAAAACTTTTTTTAAAATTTACTATTGGGATCCTATAGACACAGTTATGACCATAAAATGTTTTCACAGGCCACAGGCAATGTTTAGAAGAATTTGAGTTCCAGCAATATATCCTGACTTGGATTCTAACACTATTTTATAACATTACAAATATTTTGGTTTTTCTGTTTGAGATCACACATTATTCACACATCTGTGCTTATATGTTTTGTTTTTCTCTTGTGGGATCAAACCAAGGACTTGAATTTGCCAAGCATGTGGTTTGCCACTGGGGTATATATATCCCCAGCTACAGATTTCTTTTTTAAACATATAAGATTTCCATGCTAGGGCTGGGTATGGGGGCATGGGCCTGTAGCCCAGCACTCAGGAGCCTGAGCAGGAAGACTGCTACCATTTCAAGGCCAGCTTGATCTATAATGACAAAACAAAACACCAGGCATGTTATCACACCTGTACCAGCCAGAAGGATCAGGAGTTTAAGGCCAGCCTTGGCTACATAACACATTCTAGGCCAGCCAGGACTTCATGAGACCCTATTTGAAAAAATATTTCCACTCCAGCACATATCTTCATATATTCTCCAAATAGTATATATTCTTCAAATTCTTCTGATTCATAGAATTATTCTTGAAATTTCTGTGCAAATTTGAAGGTATTTACTATCTATCTTCTCTGGTTAATTCAGTGATACCTGAACAGTATAGCATCCAAGTGCTCCTCAAAATCTCTGTGTTAATATTGTCTCTTTGGAATGAAGGTATTGCTACTTGGGACCTCAGCTACCTAATATACAATTTTTATTTATTTATTTGTTTGAGCAAGTTCTCACTGTGCAGTCTAGCTGACCTTAAACTCACGAACCTTCTGTCTCAACCTTCTGACTCGAGGATTACATGTGTGAGCCATCACCTCTGGCCTAGCACATGATTTCTGTCACCACGAGTATTTTGTTAGAGGACATAGTTGTTTTAGCTAACACTATCCCTAAATGTTAGTATAACTCTGTTTAGGTGTCAGGTTTTGCTTAAGAATGTCATCCAAATCATTAAAGATTACTTTTACTTGCTATGTGAAATACCCTTTAAAAAGCATGCATTCCAAGATTATCTCAAACGGGTTTCAAATGACACCCTTTCATGCTTATTTTGTAATCCAGCCCATGTTAAATTCTCTCCTCACTGTGGATGGCTTTTACAGACTCAGTCTTACTTGTCGAAGGTGAACGGTACTGCTTTGCAAAGGTCTTTCTAATGCTAAGATCTTATTGCTGAAGATATAACACACTTTGGTTGCAGGATATGGAGACATAATCAATCTGGAACTGACCTGAAAACCTCTTCCCTGCCAGCCAATTTTCATAGTGCTGAAAGGTACTATGCAGCCCCACTAAGGAAGAAAAGCCATCAGTGGACTTACCTAGCAGTGGACCCTGCGTATTACAGCGCCAGCCTGCCAGGCGTGATGCCCCTCCTGTGCCATAGCGGCATGACTGTTATGAGGACAACCAGCTGTTTTCTGCTTGGGTTTGAGGCAGGAGTTCTGCCTGGCACTGTGGTCTAAAGTCCATGGCCCTGGGGGACCCTCCACTGTTGTTCGCTGTCAAACTGCCTTTTAAATACTTAGATTTATGCCATGGCTTAGTGCTACCCTCAACCTGGGTCAGAAACTTCTTTGTGCAGTGGGCATTGGTCAAGGAGCTCAAAACAGCTGTGCTTACCAGCACCAGACTTGCATGAGATCAAGTCAGTCCACATTCCAGCATGGAGGGTGGAGGAGTTCATTTGGCTTTCCCATAGCTGAGGAACTATTGGCAGCTGATGGATGTAGTCAATGGGGGGTGGTCCTTTTTCTTTAGGAGTGTGTAGTGTATTGCTAGGTTACCCATGCTCCTGTGGATGGTTCCACAATTGTATGCATGCAGGCAGCACTAGCTGGATTCAGTGGGCTCTGAAAAGAAAAGGACATGAAGTGGGGAGGAGAAAGTATCAGCAGAACCCGGGGGACTGGTAAGGGGGGTTTGCTGGATATGGTCAAGATACATTGTATACCTGTTTGAAATTGTCAAAGAATAAATTTAAAATATCCAAAACACATGCATACATACACAGAGGAAAGGCCTTAGTCCAATATGGTATATGCCTGTCATCTTAGCGCTCAGAAGGTGGAAACAGGAAGATCAAGAGTTCAAGAGCAGCCTGGGCTGCATGAGACCTTGTCTCCAAACCCTCTAGTTAAATCAATAGGCCTTAGCCACATGGTGTTTTCCTTGGTGCTCTTCCTAAAGTACACACCTGAGCTGCTTCTGCTGTATCTCTTCCTGGGATGGATGAGTCACAGTTTTGCTTGTCTGTTTTGTTTTGTTTTTGTAGTGCTGGGGGTTGAACAAGAGGCTTGCACATGCTAGGCAAGCCTTTCCAACAGCTACACCCTCAGCCCTTTTTTAACTTGTTTTTTAATCTAAGTGGAATGAATAATTTATATCTCTCTTGTTTTTGTTTTGTTGAGACAGGGTCTATGTAGCCCTGCCTGTTCTGGAACTCTCTCTGTAGACCAAGCTGGCCTTGAACTCACAGAGATCCATCTGTCTGTGCCTCCTGAGTGCTGGGATTAAAGGCATGTGCCACCATGGTCCTGCAAATAGTCTCCTTTTACACCTGTTTCCATACTTGGTTTGACCTGACATCATCATCATCATCATCATCATCATCATCATCATCATCTTGTTATTAGTTTGTGTATGCACATGAATGCCACAGTGTGCATGTGGAGGTCAGAGGACAACATTGTGGAGTTGAGTCTCTTCTTACACCTTTATGTAGGTTCTGGGGGTCACACTGGGTTGTCAGGTTTGTGTGGCAAGTGCTTTACTGGTTGAGCCACCTTTCTGGGCCAATCTGGTATTTTTCTGGAGCTTTCTGCTAGAACTTTTTGGACAAGTGACCACCGTGCTCTATTCCGTGCACAGAATGTACTTTCTGTAGCCAATAAGCTTTGTTCCTGCTTGTTCTTTAGTTGTTCAGATAGTCCCCATGCTTCCCTAATAAGGTAGTAGTATCAGAACTGAGAGTTGATAGAATCAGTTCTCTTATAGAACTCATTTTATAATGCAACATAGGATTTTTTTTTCCTTTTCTTTTTTGAACAGGGTTTCATGTAGTCCTGGCTGGCCTTGAACCTGCTACATATCTGAGGATGACTTTGAACTCCTGATTCTTTTGTTTCTGCCTCCTAAGTACTGGGATTACAAGTATGCTAACACAGCACCTAGTTTAGCATAGGGATTTTAAAGTGTGGAATTTGTTGATCTCTTCTTGCTCATGCAGATGAAGCCCAACTGTGGGCTTCTAACCTTCCTGCCCAGTTATGGCTGCCAGAGGACAGCTGGTGCCTCCTGTTCATCAGCACCTCCCTTCATCATTCCTCCCTGCCCTCGCCTGCCCCACACTGCGGGTCCCAAGCAAGGTGAAGTGTGGACTAGCTACCCTTGCTTTACTTTTCCGGTCATATCACGTGTTTCTGCCCCGCCAGCTTCCCTTGTTTCTATCCCTCAGTTGGAAGTTTTGGCTCTCCTGGCTGCCCAGTTCCTCTGCTCCTCTATGCTCAGGCATGAGAGAAGCTTCCACAGTTTCACCAGCTGCCTGTAGGGTATCTGGGTCCCCCACCAGCCCAAGGCATTTCTCTTGTTTCCACAGGTGCTATTGGAAGCTAAGAGGTCATTTGTGGGGAGTTAGGGGGAGGCTGGTGACAGAATTAAACTCTCTTGAGTACTCTTCAAGGGAGCTGCCTCCCCAGCTTCTCTTTTCAGTGCCTCTAGCAGACAGGTGGTCTCTCCACTGGTAGTAAATTCCTGGGTATTTTTACCCAGTACTCCATAAACAAAACGGCAATGTTATTGGAAATGTCATGCAACCAGGCATATGAGTAATTGTCCCCATTAATCATTTTGCCAAAGAAAACAATTTACCATCCAAGCTTGTTTGGAGAGATGCTTGCTATGTGAAGGAAGAAAGTTCAAGCATTTGCCTAAAAGCTCCCTGTCAAGACTGGAATGATGTATAGCCAGGGCTCTGGTGTGTTTGAAAGTAAACCCTCCCCTGTGCAAGTCGGGGCCAGCTGTATAGTCCACACTGAACGAGTCTTTACAGGAATCTCAATGCCAAAGCCATGGAGAGTGAGGTCCACCATCCACAGGGACCGGGGATTCAAGAGAGGTGCAGGTTGTACCCAGTTTGTCTCTGTGTCAGTAAACATCAACACTACAAAGACATCCTTCCAGGGCAGGCAAGATGGCTCCGGAAGTAAAGGTGCCTGCTGCTAAGCCTGATGACTCAAGTTGGTTCTCTCTAACTTACATGGAAAGAGAGAACTAACTCCCACAAGTTGTCTTCTGATTTCCATATGTGCACTGGAGAGAGAGAGAGAGAGAGAGAGAGAGAGAGAGAGAGAGAGAGAGAGAGAGAAGGAGGAGAAGGAGGAGAAGAAGAAGAAAGAGGGGGAAGGATGAGGACAGGAGAGGGAGAGGAAAAGAGAGGGGAAGGGAGAGGAGCACATACATGCATATACACCCACCCCAATAAAACTAAATACTAAACTGAGTCTCTACCCTCAAGGAGTTATAGTGGGGATTTAAGATCTGCTTACATTCTTATAAATGAGTATTTAATGAATAACTGCAGGGTAGTGTGTTAAGTTGGATAATACAGGTATAAATAGAATAGAGAGGAACCATGGCAAGTCTCTTGAAAGGCTAATATATGAGCCAAGTCTCAAAAAAGGAGCACATGTTTTTCCAAGCAGGCAAGTAAAGGAATATTTGCAAAGGCACAATGGCATGGAGTAGAGTGGGGAACTGCAAACAGGTAGGTTTGGGGGCAACACAGGCATCCCGGAGGTGAGAACAGTCAGGAGCCAAGCCAAAGAAGGAGACAGGTGACAGATGATGGAGCACTCTAAATGGCGGGCTTAGGAGAGCGGACTTGATTTGAAGGCAACTGGGGACCACTGAGGATTTGAACATGAGAGTGACAATGGACTCAGTCCTTTCACACATACTTAGCAGTTCCTTGTTTTACTGAGGGCAATTTGATTTTATTGTGTTAGACCATTTATATGATGGTATAGTATACAGAAGTGAACACTACAGTGTGAGGGCCTGGTGTGTATTAACCACTTCATAACCCGTGCCTGTGAAGGAACTCTGATGTTAAGTCTCTCACCTATGACCAATGACTTGCTTCCCTGCCGGGCGCTTTCTGTCATACTGGAGCAATAGGGTATCTCCCCAGATAAGCAGTACAGCTACATGACAGTGCCCAGTACATGTTTCCAGACATTTGCTTAGCTCTCCCTTCACCCCAAATTATAATCCACACTACTGTAATGTCTCTGAAAAGTGACAATAACTTTGTTTGTGTCTGTGTGATGGGAGTAGAACCCAGGGCCTCGTGCATACTAGGCAAAAGCACTCTGTCACTCTGTCACTCTGTCACTGGGCTATACTCCATTTTGTGTGTGTGAGGTGAAGGCAGGGTCTCAAGGATGGCCTCAAATTCAGTATGTGACTGAGGCTAACCTTGGGTTCTTGATACCCCATATGTACTTGCCAAGGGCGAGGATTACAGGCACACACCACCATGTTGCAGCTTCTAACCTTTTTGTTTTTTTAGTCAATAATATATATTAGATACTATTCTGTATCTGTTGGGTAGAACACCATATCTTCCCCCTTTTCTTTCAGAATTGTTGCTTTACTTCATGTTTTATTAATATAGACGTGGAGATTATTAATGATACATTTCTCTGTTCTTGTGTGAATTTGTAAGATAGAGGCCTAGTGGAAGAACTTTTACATTACACACACACACACACACACACACACACACACACACACACACACACAAATTCAATTTCTGCAGATATTGCTGTTTTCTTTTATTTAGGTTTATTATCTTATGTGTGTGAGTGTTTTGCTTAAATGTATGTAAGTAGACCCTGTGGGTACCTGGTGCCCTCATTGGTCAGAAGAAGGTGTCAGGTACCCTTGGACTGGAGTTATGGAGGACTTTCAGCTGCCATGTAGGTGCTGGGAATTGAACCTGGGTCCTCTACAAGAGCATCAGGTGTAAGCCAGGTGTTGTGGTGTATGACTTTAATCCTAATACTTAGAAGGTAGAGGCAGCTGGATCTGTGAGTTCGAGGCTAACCTGGCCTACATAGTGAGTTCCAGGACAACCAGAGCTACATAGTGAGACCTCAGCTTAGAAAAAAAATCAAGTGCTTTTAACAACTGAGCCAACTCTTGAGACTGCAGTTTTCCTCTAAGTGCATCACAAACACATATTCTCTCACCAACATTTGCACATTTCCCCATGCTTATCAATGTGTTTGTGAAAGGAGTATTCCTTTTTTTGTGACTGGGTCTTGAGTAGCCCAAGTTGGCCTTGAACTCACTATGTAGCCAAGGTTGGCTTATGATATTTCTGCCTCTACCTCCCAAGTGTGAGGGTTACAGGCCTGTGCCACCACTCCTGCTTTCTGTGGTACTGAGGACAGAACCCAGGGCTTTGTGCACGTCAGGCAAGCATGACACCTCTATCAACTCAGCTACGTCTTCAACCCAGACGTTTCTATTTTTAAGTCATATTTATTAACAATTCCTCTGTGATTATTGAATTTTATGCTATAATCAGAGAAAGTTTTCTTCGTGACAAGATTATATACAAAGATATACACAAATTCATTGTTTTATTTTAATAACTTCATAATTTCATTTTTATATTTAAGTTTTTACCCAGCATTTATTTATTTACTTACTTATTTTGAGATATGGTTTTGCTGTCTATCTTAGGTTAGCCTTGAATTCCTCATGTAGCCTAGGTTGGCCTTAAATTGGTAACAATCCTCCTGCTTAGTTTTCTGAGTGTTGAATTACAGGTATATGCCATTATGCTCTGCTCTATTTTCTATTAAAGAGCAAAATATAGATTTTCTATCCTTTTGATTTTAAATTTTTATTATAATCACACTCAGTGAATATTTTCCCTGCTGATCTAGAATGTTTTATTTGCAGTATCGGGGAATTGAACCCTGCGCTCTGTGCATACTAGGGCAAATGCTCTATTGCTGAATTACTCCCCAGCCCTGGAATGTTCCTTTTATTATAAACTAATCTTGTTGGTATGTGGGTCCATTTGTGGACTGTCTCTCTCTTCCCATTGATCTGCCCTGTCTGGTTTGGTTTGTAACAGCTGTCTTAATTAGTGCAGTTTTAGAAGATATTTTGAAATCTGATGGAACTAATTTCCTTTCATCATTCTCTTCTTGTTTGTATTTCCAGATGGTCTATGCTCGAGTTCTAATATAAAATTTAATTGTATGCTTGTTTGATCAGAGTTACAATGGCTAGTAAGACAATTTCATGACTCATAATGGCCAGTACCATTTTGATTGTTGTTTTCATTCCCAATATTGCGGTGTAAACATTCCTGATGAGTCTTTTAGTCATTCCTGTTATTCTGATTTGTTCACAATTATTACAAGTCCTTGTGCTTCCTCAAAGTAAACTACTGGCTGAAAACCACTGGACAATGTTCTTATGTTGACTCAGCCACCATGCTGAGTCCTCTAAGTCGCCTAAGAGCAGGCAGCAGGATGCCCATTTAAATATGGATGTGAAGACTTACATCTGTCATCTTTCTCATCCCATAATCCCAGCAACTTTAGGGCTCTGCAGGCAATCTTGGTTCACTATTTTTCCCTCTGTACTATCTCCCATCTATACGTGATTCAAAGATATGTAGCTAAAGTTTTCCTGCCTGGCCCACAGTCAGTACAAATCTCTCTCACCTGCCAGTCCCACAGCCATCAGACCCAACCAAGTAAACACAGAGACTTATATTGCTTACAAACTGTATGGCCGTGGCAGGCCTCTTGCTAACTGTTCCTACAGCTTAAATTAATCCATTTCCATTAATCTATACCTTGCCACATGGCTCGTGGCTTACCGGCATCTTCACATGCTGTTTCTCATCATGGCAGCTGGCAGTGTCTCTCTGACTCAGCCTTCCACTTCCCAGATTTTTCTCCTCCTTGTCCCGCCTATACTTCCTGCCTGGCCACTGACCAATCAGTGATTTATTTATTGACCAATCAGCAACACATTTGACATACAGACCATCCCACAGCAAAGATACAATTTTTCAGCCTTGCAAAAAAGGGTGGTTTACCAAAAAGTACCGAGGAAAACATTTAGAATCTTAATAACAGAAGATCCTTTGGCTGAATGCTAATCCTTGTGTGGTTTATCATGGATTGAATCTGCTGTCTGTCTTGGCCTCCTTCCTGAAGTCCACAGACATTCTGAAAACCTCTTGAACATGTGTGAGTCACAAGTAGGGGACTCGGAAATGAAAAGACAGTAAATTCACAGCAATGAAACAGAAGGAAATGACCTGGAGCTAGCTGCTGAGCTCTGTCCTTCCTCATCCTTATCCTCATCCTCATCTAGCCAGCCTCCACTCCCTCCAGACATCAAGCTAAAGGTTCAGAGTCTTCTCCATGGAACTTGCCAAGGGAACCTTTCCCTTAGGTTTCTGACTCTCCATCCATCTTGAAGTTTAAGGTAAGTGCTCTTGTCTTTAGTTCTTTCAACTTTCTTCAAGTGAGTGCTGTTTCTTTTAACTGCTAAGCCCCCAAAAGGTGGAGGGAGAGGAATTAATAGATCCTCAATGAAACAGAGCAAGAGTACAGAGCAAGGAATGGTGCTACACACCTCTACTTCTAGGATTTGAGAGAGGTAGGAATGTTGCTATTGTTCTGAGTCCAGCCCGTCTACATACCAAGTCCATCCCCTCCCCTTTTGGTTTTCTGTCCAAAACAGGGTTTCTCTGTGTAGCCCTGGCTGTCCTGGACTTCTCTCTCCAGGCTGGCCTTGAACTCAATGAGACCTGCCTGCCTCTATCTCCCAAGTGCTGGGATTAAAGGTGTGTACCACCACCACCTGGCACATACTGAGTTCTTCATCATCCAGGGCTACACAGGAAAAAGCTGTCTCAAAAAATAAGGGGTTACATGCTGGGGAAAAGGTTCAGCAGTTAAGAGCACTGGCTGTTTTCCCAGAAGACCCAGGTTCGATTCTCAGTATCCACGTGGAGGCTCACAACTGTCTGTAATTACAGTTCCAGGGGATCTGACGCCTTCTGACCCCCACAGGCACAAAGCATGCAAGTAGTGCTCAGACACACAAGCAGGCAAAACGCCCCTAAACAAATTTTTTAAAAAGATGTTTTTAAGGGGCTAGAGAGATGGTTCAGCAGTTAAGAGCACTGACTGTTCTCCCAGAGGACCTGGGTTCAATTCCCAGCACCCACATGGCAGCTCACAACTATCTGTAACTCCAGTTCTAGGGGACCTAAAACACCCTCACACAGACACACAAGCAGGCAAAACGCCCCTAAACAATTTTTTTAAAAAGATGTTTTTAAGTGGTTATGATGGACTTGTATGACCATGAGGTATAGCTGGTTGTCTTGTTCAGTCATAAATGATCTCTTCCCTGGTTGCATGCTTTAGAGAGGGTTCCTGAATTGGGCTAGGGATTGCACTAAATCATCTTTGGACTGGGGTCTATATGAACTCTAGAAACTTGGTGGCAGCCATGCTGAATCTAAAATGAGATTAACATAGGCACAAAGGCAGAGGAAAGGGAGAAGCCATCATGACATTCCAGGGAAAGGGAGGGGCATGAGCATGGGCTTGCAGAAACAGTGCTGTAGTTTTTAATTGTTAAATGCCAAGGAATAGGTGTCAGACGTAATGTTGAAGAAGTAGGGAGTGGCTGGGTCCTGGTATACCATGATCAAATACTTGGAAAAGAATTTTAAGTATATGGATGACAGGTGGTAACCAGAAGAGGCCCATATATAAATTTCATAAATGATGGCCCTACCAAAAAGAATGTAAAGCAAATTTGAAACTAATCTAGTTAATGAAAGCTGGTGAGATTCTTGTCATCTATATACTGCTAGAGGATCATCATACCATCATTAGAATGACAAGAAGATGTCTCCACTCAGTTTCTGAAATTGAGTTCCCCTATAGTTGGATTTTGTATAGGAAGGCATAGTTCCAGGAGCACCGCAGGGGACCATCTTAAGGGAGCTGAGGCTGGCCATTAGGAGATGGTAAATGAATGCTATTGTATAGGTCTGTGATGAGAGCATCCTGAACTAGCTTAGCAAGGGAGCTATTACTGAAGACAAACTTAGCACGTTTGCTTGAAGAGACAGCAATGAAAGCGTGCTGTCCAGAGGGGAGCGCATGTGACCTGCTGCTCCCCCAGGGTGTTCGGAAACTTGTCGTGGCTTCTTGCTGAGACCATGATTTCTTATTTAAAAAAAAATTTATCATTATTATTTTATATGTATAAGTGTTTTGCCTGCATGTATGTAAGTGTTCTGCGTTTGTGCCTGGGACCTTGGAGGCCAGAAGAGGGCACTGGATACCATGGAACTGGAGTTACAAATGGTTGTAAACCAACACGGGGTGCTGGGAATTGAACCCCGGTCCTCTGGAAGAGTATTAAGTGCTCTTCCGCAGCTTCCGTGACAAGAGTTTTAATTCCTTCCCTTTTAAAATTTTTTCTCATTTTATTTTCTTCATTTTTTTCTCTTGAATATTGTTTTATTGGGGGGTGCAGGGACAGAGGGCAGGTGCGAAGGGACAGAGAATGAACGGAATCAAGACACATGATGTGAAAAACACATAGAATAAATAAATAAATACATTTATTTTTTATTTTATTTTATTTTTTTTACACTGGGGCATTTTTGTTTATTTTATTGTAAAGTTGAATTTAATTATATTTCTCTCATAATTACCAGAAAACTTGACTAGTTTTCTCAAAGCATGGCAAATATTCTTTTTTTTAAATACATTTTATAAAATGTAATAAATACATTTAAAAAAGAATATTAAGTGCTCTTAACCAGAGCTATCTCTTTAGTCTTTTCTTTGTTTTCTTAAGATTTCTTTTTATTTTTATTTATGTGTATGTGTGTCTGTATACCACGTGTGCAAGTGTCTGAGGAAGACAGAGAAGGTGTTCAGTCCTTGGAGCTGGAGTGGCACAGGCTGTTGGGAGTGCCTGAGGTGGGTGCTGGGAGCTGTACTTGGGTCCCCTGGAAGTGTAACAAGTGCTCTTAACCACTGAACCAATTCTCCAGTCCCTTATGATTCTTAAAGCCTGCTTTATGGCTGAATTAGAAGGGACAGCAAGCCAAGTCTGTGTCTGAGGAATGAGGAACTACAATGGCGTACAACGTTGCCTCTAAGATGTTCCACTGGTCTGAAAGAGCTCTCTTACTACAGCAGTGCAGTCTCAGACTCTTCCATCATCAATCTTTCTCCCTCCCTCCCATTCTCTTTTCCTCCCTTCCTTCTTTCCATGACTCATACGGACCATACCTACATCATGGCCCAATGGTTATCCTAGGAGACCTGGACTAATACATAATAGTGGGTAAGCTTTTGGCCTCTGGAGTCACAATAACTTGGTGAGAATCAAACTCTATCTACCATAGGTATGTGAGTTAAATCAAGCAAGAAATTTGACCTGTTCAATATAATACTCAGGCTAGTAATGTGGCTCAGTTGGTAGAGTTTACTCAGCATGCATGAAGCCCTGGCTTCGATCCCCAGTACTACATAAACTAGGTATGGTGGTGCATGACTATAATTCCAGCATTTGGGAGGTAGAAGCAGGAGGACCAGAAGTTCAAGGGCATCCTTGGCTACATAGGCTAGCCTGGAGATACATAAAACCTTGTCTCAAAAAAAAAAAAAAAAAGTCACTCTTGGGTTGAAGGAATAGTTGAGGGTAGAATATTTGAATACTTGGTCCCTAACATAAATGGAACCTTGTGTTTAATTCTTTTTAAAATCATGACAATTGTGAAGATTAAAGTTTATAAAGTGTATGCACAGCATCTGGAACATTGTGAGAACTTGATAAACGTTAGCCATTCTTACTAGATATGAAGAATGAAGAAACAAGGCTCAGATAATTAGGTACCAGGTGCTTGCATTATATAAAATAATCATAAATATTTTATCTAAGTTTTAATTGTCCTTTTGCATGTAGCAGATATCCTTGTGGTATAAAGAGATAAGGAAATCCTTTCCTTCCTACTTCTGAAATTCTTGACGTATCTGGGTTTTATGACTATTGGAAAATACACTATTAACTTACGTATCCAAAGGTACACACATATAAACCTTCCGGGGCTGGAGAGGTGGCCCAGTTGGTAAAGTGCTCGGTGTGCAAGCAAGAAGACCTGAGTTTGACTCCCAGCACCCATGCGAACAAGCTGGATATGCAGCATGCACTGCAATCCCAGTGCTGGCAGAGTGCAGTCAGAGGGCCTGGGGCTTGCTGGCCATCATTCTAGTCAAACTGGGGGGGGGGGGGTTCCATGTCCAGTGAGAGACCAAAAATAAAGTGGAAAGTGACTAAGAAAGATTAATGCTGACTTCTGACCTCCACGTGCACACACGTGGGCTCACCCCCGCCCCACCCCACCCCCACACACTACAAATTCTGGAGTTCTACAAGGTAGCTTTTTATTTCAGTCATTCCTGTTCCCTGCAGGAATATCCTTCAGTATTATGCAAGAAAGACCCATATTTTAGAGCTTTGTCATGTAGAAAGAAAATCAGCCATCCTTAAAGAAACTAAGTGAATGGAAGTTAACCAAGTTAAATTGTTTTCATAAGCAGAGCCTTATTTAGAATGACTTAACTGTAAAACAAATAAAAACTGAAAGTCGGGGTGGGGTGGGGATGGAGAGATGACCAAGAGGTTAAGAGCACTGGCTAGTCTCTCAGTGGAGCTCAGTTAAATCCCCATAGTGGCTCACAACAATCTGTACGTCCAGTTCTGGGAGATCAGATGTCTTCCTCTGGCCTCCATGGGCAATGTGTACATGCAGGTAAAACACCGATATACATAAACTAAAAATGAAGACTTTTAAAAAGAATGATTAAATATGAGTTCTCAGGCATTCTGTAAAGCATATACTACAAGAGATTTTCTCTCTTCTGAAAAAAGTTGGTAAAATTAAGATGTTCCAAATTAAAACTCTAGGCAGAAATATGGAGTTAAAACTAACAAAATGGAATTGAAAGGCAAATGTAAGCTGCACAAAAATTTAAGAAATTTATTGGGATGGAGAAAAATTTGATCCAAGCAGTGGTTTATCTGAAGAATATTACGGGTTTTAGGTTAACCACCAGCCTCACCAGAGCCAATGGTGCAGTCTTAGCTTGTAGAAAAATGAGTGCACTCTACTCTAGTAATGAGAAACTTACTTTCCTGTTCTGCTAAGTTAGGGCTATGTTAGGTGATTTGCAAACTCCTTTTCGAAGTATAATTCTATGACCTAGTAGCTCTAAACTTGTAGGAGGCAGGAGAATTGTTATAGGTTGGAGTACAGCCTGACCTACATGAGATCCTGGGGAAAAAAAACCCATAGGAAAAATATGTAGGTTTCATGAGAGCAGGTTTGTCTGCTTACCTTTCTACTTTTGGGGAAGGGGAGGGTCTGTTTGTGTGATGCCCTGACCTTAGATGCCTATCCAAATGAGTGTGGTGATGGGACAGCCTTTCTTACATCTATTTCGTATCATGTGAAGCTTCACACAGAACTGCTTTTCTTGAGTGATGAGCTGGATAAGCCGGTTTGCCCTGAAGTTTGCCTGATAAATGCATTTCTGATGAGCTGGCCTGTCATTCTGCTGCCTTGCTGTGCAGGGCCCATCCCAAGCTGACTAGCTGCCTGTGGACATTTGGTAATCAAGGATTTCAGTGGAAGGCATCAAGGTCAGTGTGAGGCAATGATGGAAAGGCCTAGAAAGGCCTAGCATGCAGGGCCCTCAATTAAGCTTTGCCATAAAAAGGTCGAGGGCGGGCATGGATCTGGGCTTTGGCCATAGTGTAAAAGGCGGCTGACATGGTTTTGTGGGTAACCAATGGGCCTCCTCACCAACTAGGGCTGTTCCCATTCCCTTTTAAACTATAAACTGGCATTTCCAGACATTATAAACATCTTGTAAGAAAAAGACTGTAAAAGAGGCCAATCTTTGGGAAACGCTTCAATAAAAATAGAATTCCAAACTGTTTACTCAGTACCTTTGTCTAGCTGATTTGGAGGGTGGGTCAGAAAGCCTATCTCTCCTTCTCGTTCCCTGTGCTCTTGGGCAAGCCAGTTAACAACCCTGGGCCCCATTTCCTTATCTTGCTACTTTCAAGACAGGAGGAACACACTAAAGCATCCTGGGTTGTGGAGGATCCCTGACTTAAGAGTTGAGTTATATGGACTGTGGGAGAAGAACTGATATAGGCTCAGAGGTGACCTCTGAGTCAGAGGGCATACCCTAGAGCCTTACGGGACATGTCCAAAAGACAGCAAGCAGGAGTTGAAATCACAGGACTCCCACTTCGTGTCTCAGGCAAGTCCCTTCTGGGCGTTGGCTAAAGTGCTCAGTCTCACTTTCTTAATTCAGCCAGGCAGAAGAGGTCACAAAGGGTGGGGTGCTGGCCCGTGTGTCATGTTCTTAATGCTCTGGGGGAAAAGGACAGGAAGCAGAGATGCCAGAAGAGGAGTTTAGGAGTTGGTTCATTTCTACTTTTTTCTTTTTTGAGACGGGGTCTTACTATGTGGTCTTAAACTGGTGATCCTCCTGCCTCAATCTCATGTTCAGGGATTACAGGCCAGTGCTGCCATATCTAGCTTCACAAGAAGAGTCTTTGTAGCAAGTTATTCACAACTGATGGCCCTGTTTGCTTTCCAGATTGAAAACCTACAGGAGCCAAGGACATTAGAGCTTTCACCCTCTCAGTATTATGACGACCAACTTGGGTAAGGAAGGAAAAAAAATTTTAAATTTGTCTCATGTAGCATAGGTTGGCCCCATAGGTGACATATAGCCAAGGCTGATGTCCTCCAGCCTCTACCTCCCAAAGATTGGAATTATAGATGTGCAAAACCATACCTGATGGAAGGAAAGATCTTTAAAGAAAAGGACAAATGGAGAAGAAGCTAAAATTGAAGTGAAGATTTTTCAGGGAATATCTAGATACATAAATTTGGGGAGATAGTTCTTGTTATGGTGTCATTTTAGGCCTTCTGATGACTTCAGTTTGTCCTTGTGCCGATGTTACCCATCACTCTCTTAGGGGAGGAAGTTCCTGATTATTCTGTAGGCTGGCCGGCCGAGAAGCTGGACTTGGCTCCTGGAGGAAATACCCTAGATTACCAAAGCAGCAGGAAGTTGCTCTGCGGCCACCTCCCCCTCGTTGCTGTCACTTGCCCCTTGTCCCTTTCACTCTCGTCTGTTTGCCTCTGACCACTCATCCTGTTTTCTGGTTTTGCTGTTTTTGTTCTGTGCTGATTTCTGGCTCATTCCAATCTTTGAGTTTTTTGTTTGTTTGTTTTGTTTTGTTTTTATTACCTTTTAGACAGGATCTCATGTCACTCAGGCTGGCCTCAAACTTGTTATGTAGAAAAGATTGACCTTGAATTCTTTTTTTGTAAAAGTTTAAAAAAACTTTTTTTTTTTCATGTGCATGCATGTTTTGCCTTCATGTATGTCTATGCACCATGTGTGTTCAGTGCCCTTGGAGGCAAAAAGAAGACATTGGGTTCCCTGGATTTGGAGTTATAGATGATTGTCAGCGGCCACGTTCGTGCTGGGGGCAATCAAACCCAGGTCCTCCGGAAGAACAGCCAGATTTTAACTGCTAAATCATCTCTCCAGCCTTGACACTGAATTCTTGATCCTACAGCTTCACCTCCCCAGCTCCTGATTACAGGCACTAGCTGACCTGACCGGTTTATTGAACCCAGGGCTTGGTGTACTCCAGGCAAGCACTCTACAAAATGAGCTGCAGCCTCAGGCCCTCATACTAACCCTTTCCTGGCTGCTTCTTCACTGGCCATCGGATAGCCTTTTCTGGTCAACTGTGATTGACAACTTCTGCTCTCTAGCTTCTGCTCTCTACCTGATCTCAAACCCCCAAACCTGCATCCCTGAACTACCTACTGATTAGTCCTTTAGGCCATTGTTTTATAAAACAGATTGTAACATGTTTTTTAATTTAGTTTTATGTGCATTGGTGTTATGTCCTCATTCATGGCTGCCCTGTGGGTGCTGGGAATCGAACCCAGGTCCTCTGAAAGAGCAGCCAGTGCTTTCAGCTCCAGATTGTTTAACATGTTTAAAAACAATTTCTTCTTGTTGTTGTTTCAAACCAGGTCCTTGTATGATGTCTCTGTCTTCGTCAGTAACCCATTGAGTCATTTAGACTCAAAGTCCTCTTTGGTCGCTTTTGCTCTCAACCAGTGCGCCCCAAAGACAATCAGATTTTCTTTCACATTTTGATCTTGTTTCTGTTCCTCCTTCTTGTCCACTTCTACATACTTACCACCTCTAATGTCAGCTAGGGTTGTTGTATATTCCTTCCCTCATTTGATTTCCTGTGACCCATTTTGATCCTGTTTCTGTCTTTCTCTCTTCCTTGTCCATTTCGATGTTCTTACCATCTATGATATTATCTAGTATCTTCTCTGCCCTTTCCCTGAGCCCATTTCCTATGACTAGCTGAGTCTAGACCTAGACTGACCCTCATTAATCTAATCATGCCTGTTCAAAACCCTGACATTCTTCCCTGTTCCTGTCAAGGCTTCTTGCTCTTCCTGGCCTGTCAGAATTTTCCATAATTTGATCCTATCTGGACAGCACCTTTGCCAGGTAGCTATATTGTAATGGAAAGTTTAATGGGTTTGGAATAGAGCTGCTTTCAAATTGTAGCCCTGTATTCAATGGAAGACCTTGAGCAATTGGTTGACTCCTGGTGTCTTGGATCCTCATTTGCCAAATGAGGATAACGATGCCTGTGTCACAGAGGATTTAATGAGGATTTAATGGGATAATATGTGTGGAGGCAATTTAGTGTTGTGCTCAGACCCCATGTTTGAAATTACTCACTTGGCTTACTCTCAGACTTTTCCACTTACTAACTATGTGACCCGGAGCAAATTCCTTGACCTCTCTGGACTTACCTTTTTCTGTATCGAGGATGGGCGATTTAATATTAGTGAAGTGCTTAACATAGTATCTGGAACACTGTAAACTTTAACAGGTTAAGCTGTTGTTACTTCGTGGCAAGAGACCCAGTGGAATATAACCAGCACTTACATGTTTACTTTGTTTTTTATTGAATCAGATTTTTTTTTTGATACAAGGATCCTGGCCTCAAACCCCACCCCCCACCCTCCCACCCCCGTAGCCAAGATTGACACTGAACTTCTGATCCTCCTGCCACCACCACTTTCCAATTGCTAGTATTCAGGCATGAGCACACCATGTTGGTGCATGTGGTACTGTGGAATAGAACCTAGGGCCTCACACATGCTAAGCAAACACTACTTCCCTAGCCCCTGGATTAGTCTCATTTATATGGTCATTCCCACAAATTCTTGCTAAGTCCAGCCTCACACCACCCTCCCCAAGACAGGCTGATGACTTCCATTTTTCATGCATGTACATTCCATTGTTCTTGCCTCCAGTGCTGTTTTCCTCATTTTTAGAATGTCGTAATTTCTCTTCTCTGACTGTTCAAATTCTTCCAGTTCTATAATGCCAATCCTAATCCTTGTCTCCACGAAATTTTTTCTTATCACTTCACTAAACCCATTACCCTTCCTCTTTTTCTTTTCTTTCTTTCTTTTTAAACTTATTTTTGACAGGGTCCTGCTATATAGTTCAGGCTTGCCTCAAACTTGCCATCCTCCTGCCTCGGCCTCCTAAATGCTGGGGATGCAACATTAGCCACTACATTGGGCTCTAGCTACTCTTAATTTAGCACTTGATGGTAATACTCTGATGGATGCACCTAGCTACTGATTCCTGTGTGTTGGTTTTATCTTAAAATAATTTGGGAAATATTCTTTAAATCTAGTATTGTTTCAGAACCCACACTAAACATATGGTGACTACTTTATGTCACGTCATCTTTTGGGATCAGATTCCCATATTATATTTAGGGTGGGATTTGATGCTTAGTTTTCTAAGGGAGGGGGTCCAGAATTTTGGAATAAGTTTTCATATCTAGCATCTTATCTATGGATTGGCATATGAGAGTGAATAGATGCAGAACAGCTTGGCTAAGTAGTTCCTTCTGCATAAGACAAGGACCAGGAGCCTCTGAGCCAAAGGGCTGAAGAGCTTGAGCGGAGTCACCCTGCAGGTGGAGGGCCAGAGACTGACCCTTGCTGATACAGACAAGGAAGTGCCCCCATTTAAATCTGGTTCCTGCCACAACAGGCTTTGCCTCTAACAGTTTCTCAAGCTCCTTACACCTTGACACAACATTTGTCCCATTGAGAAACTGGTTCTGCACGAAACTTCCCATGGCTTGAAGCAATTAACCATGACGGTGTTTGCATACCACTGGGTTTTACCCTCCCAAGAGTGCCAATAAAGATGAAGTGGCATTTAGATGACGTGATATGAAGGACAGCACTGCAACTCGCACAGCCCAGAGTGTTTGAACTATGTGAGAGGTTCATACCAGGATTTCACAATACAGAGAAGGCCAAGAGAGCCTAGCCCACAATGCAAGGTGAACGGTACTCTTTGTCCCCGTTCTCATGGATTATTATTATTTTTTTTTTTTAGCTTCCCTCCATTTTCCCTTTCTCTGTACTCACAGAGTGCTTGTTGTCTGGACCATTCATGTATTTTTTCAAGGTAGCCGTGTTTCTCAGCTAGCTGTAGTTTCCCTAAGGACACAGACTATATCTTATACTGCTTTGCTGCCTGACAAAGCCTCACAATATAACTAGATGACACAATAAAATATCATCAATAAATATTGCTTGATTTGTTTTTTGAAATGAACATTCATTTTAAAAAGGTCCACAAAAAGGAGAAACCAGGAAAGTATCTTTAAATTTATGTGTATGTTTCTGATTACATATTTGGAGACAGGGTCTCACTCTATAGCCCAAGCTGACTTAAAACTCACCTTGTAGCCTAGCCTGGCCTCAGTTGAAGAGTGATTTAGGCTCCTGAATACAAGGATTGCAGGCATGAAGCACCCATTGTTATTGTAGTGGGAACAATAGCAGTATTGTCCTTTCATAGAGACAGAGAATCAAAACGTACAGGTAAGTGCTGTGCTTTCTAGGAAAGAGAAAAAGAGGTCCCATCCCATGGCGAGGCCCCTCACTGTCTTTCGTTTTCTTCCAAACCACAAAGGCCATGCACACAGTTAGAACTTGAGGAGCTCAGAGAGTAACTCAAGTCCCTTACTTTGTAGCTGGAAGCAAGTAAGAGCAGCTGATGGAGGTGGAGAAGGTGTGTACCGGCTTCACTTGGATTGTGAGCTATCGCTTCTGTTCAGAGCCACAATTCTTCAAGTTTAAAGTGAGGCTAAGAAAGACTATGCATTTGGATTGCTGTGGGAATTAAGTGAGATGGGAGCAGAAACAGTGCTGGGCCATAGCTACTTGATACTTGTTGACTGTCTCCTCTTGTTCCCAAAGATATAAAACAATGTAGCGTTGTCCTGCCCTGGTTTTTCAAGCCAGTTCCCCTTTGATCTCACGCTAAGCCAGCCTCCCAACCACTAGAAAACTGGATCAAGTATTAACATTTTCACTGCAGATTTGTCTAAAATTGTTTTGAGTGCATCTATATTACTTGAAGCAAAGGAACTCAAAAGACAGAAATACTGAATTCTAGAGTGAAACCCAAAGGCATCGAAGTTTGTTCTTTGCTAATTACAAGGGTCTGAATCTTTGGCGTTCCTAAAATAGTATTCAAGGCCTTTTACCCTCCCCTTTCTTTTTTTTGGCAGGGGGAACCCACCTCTGATATATTTACATGATCTGCCTTGCAACCTGATATTTTTCACCTGTCTGAGGACAGACTCTGCTGTCCATTAATCAATCAACTGAAGCTGAACTGAAAACATTGCTGTTGAGGGGCTGTTCAAAGAAATGTGCTGTAATGGTGAAGACCATGGTGCATCTGTAGGGCAGATTAGTCTCAGAAACAACATCATCATTTATAAAAATGAATGGCTGATGGCACACGCCTTTAATCCCAGCACTCGGGAGGCAGAGCAAGGCAGATCTCTGTGAGTTCGAGGCCAGCCTGGTCTACAGAGCGAGATACAGGACAGGCACCAAAATTACACAGAGAAACCCTGTCTCAAAAAAAAAATACAACAAAAAAACAAAAACAAACAAACATCCCCCAAAAGAAACAAACAAACAAAAAAAGGAATGGCTAATTGTGGTGATATATTGTGTACCCTAATAAATTTGTCTGAAGATCAGAGGACAGAATAAGCCACTAAATTAAATATAGAAGCCAGGCAGTGGTGGCGCACACCTTTAATCCTAGCACTAGGGAGGCAGAGATCTCTGTGAGTTCAAAGCCACCCTGGACTACATGAGATTGACTCAGTCTAGGAGAGAAACAGAGCCAGGCAGTGGTGGCTCACACCTTTCTTTAATCCCAGTACTTGGGAGTCACATGCCTGTAATCTGAGCACTAGGAAAATTGAGACAGAAAATGATTTGGGTGGGTGGAGAAAGGTATATAAGGCATGAGCAGACAGGAACTAAAGTCTTTCAGCTGAGGAAAGCTTTTCAGGCTGAGGAGTGCTTCAGCTGAGGAAAGCTTTTCAGGCTGAGGAGTGCTCTGCTTCTCTGATCTTTCAGCTTTCACCTCAATATCTGGTCCGAGTTTTTTTTTTATTAAAAGACCATTTAGAAATTCATGTTACAGCTAATGATAAATCTTTGTTTCCCTTGCTGGACAAGGTCTACTGAGATCACTGTTTCTTTAGAAATTTGTAGTTAGTTAACATTCATTGTGTTTGGTTACAAATATTTTGGTATGAAGCTGTAGGAGGAGCTTTTCATTGGGATCACCAGTCAACTCTGTCCCACCAGCCTGCTCCCAAATAACCACACAGAGACGTATTAATTATAAATGATGGGCCGATAGCTTAGGCTTGTTACTAAGTAGCTCTTACAACTTAAATTAACCCATTTTTTAAATCTACCCTCTGCCACATGGTGGCACCTTTTTCAGCATGGCATGCTTTGCATCTACCTCATGACTCCTGAGACTCCGCTCTTCTTCCCAGCATCCTCTCATATTGGCTCTCCTGCCTAACCTCTTCCTGCCTAGTTATTGGCTAGTCAGCCTTTTGTTAAACCAATCAGAAGGTACCTTGGCAAAACCATATCTTCACAGTGTACAAAAAGATTACTGCATAACATGAAGCAGAATCAGGTTACATCAGAAGAAAAAAAATCTTAGGAAAGTGTATAAAAATTTTCAACTTGGAATTGCCCATTCGTTGTTTGCTTAATCAGGACCTGCAAGGCAAAGGGACAAAGCAGGGGCAAACTTTCCTGGCATTTTCTGTGTAGGAAATGGTGTAGGAAGTAGAACACTGTTCTAAAAGGTTTATGTCTTCATCTTCAGGCACTGGACTATGCTAGGTTACAAGGAAAGGGGATTTACATTTTCAAAGGGAATTGCAATTTCTAATTGTTGGGGAGGTTGGAAAAGTGCTTGCTTTGCTTTGCAAGAATCAAGACCCGAGTCTGGGCTCCTAGCATTGGTGAAGCCAGCGAGATGACTCAGTGGGCAAAAAGTGCTTGATGCATGAGCTTGATGATCTGAGTTCAATCTCTGGGACTTCTGGTGAAAAGAGAGAACCAGTCCTGGAAGTTAACCTTTGACTTCAACTCACTAATCATGTCATTGAAGGGTGCACAAGCACACATTTGATGTACACATGAGCACATCAAACCAAACCAAAAATGCTGGTTATATGCATCTCTAAGTCCAGTACTGGGGAGGTGGTAACAGGCAAATCCCTGGAGCTTGTTGACCAGCTAGCTTAACTGAATCAGGTCCAGTGAGAGACTTTGTCTCCCCAAATAGGGTGAACAGCAGTCGAGGAAGACACCATTGTTGACCTCTTGCCTCCACAGGCACCTGCACACACACACACACACACACACACACACACACACACACACACACACACACACAGAGACTGCTAATTAGCAGAATAATTTGGATTTTCCAGGTAGACTAATAAAATAACAAGTGCCCTTAACACAGTGGTTCTCAACCTTCCTAATGATGTAACCTTTTAATGCAGTTCCTTATATTGTGGTCCAACCATAAAGTTATTTTCATTGCTACTTCATAACTGTAGTTTTGCTATTGTTATGAATCATAATGTAAATATCTGTGCCTTCTGATGCTCATAGGTGACCTCTGTGAAAAGATCGTTGACCCCCAAAGGGTTTGAGATCCACAGGTTGAGAATTACTGCCTTCAAAGAAGTTGAATGAAAGAAACTCCTGGAACTAGAGTTAAAGGCAGTACATGGCACTCTCCTCTGAAAGAGCAGTAAGTACTCTTAACCACTGAGTCATAGTTCCTGCCCCTAAATTTTATTCCTAATTTATCATCGGGTTTCAACATCTGTAGTAACAGTAACAACTAATTTTATTTATTTATTTTTAGACAGGGTTTCTCTGTGTAGCCCTTGCTGTCCTGGATCTCGCTCTGTAGACAAGGCTGGCCTCAAACTCACGAGATCCACCTGCCTCTGCCTCCTGAGTGCTGGGATTACAGACCTGCACCACCACTGCCCAACTTAACAGCTATTTAATAAGAATGCATTCTTGCTATTTTGCTCAGCATTTTATATGTCATCCATTTAATCCTCCCACATTTCTTAACTCTGTTTATTAGATGAGGAATTGGAGGCCTATGCAAATTGCTGAAGTTGAGATTTTTGATTACTCATCTTCATGACTTTCCATAGTGTGTATCGTCAAGTCCCCTCAGCTCTCCCCTGTACCGTGTCCTGGGTTTGCCCCTCTCTTTCCAGGTCCATTGCCACCGCATCGGTCTCACTTCTTTTTGACTTACACTCGAGTTGTTGCCATCGTCCAACATGGGGACCCTTTCTTCCTAATCCCCTCCTTAGTCTCTCTAATGTGCTTTGGTCAGACTAAGGCGGCTCCAGTTCTGCTTCTACCCAGCTGTCTCGACATTCACACTTTTAAGGTGGATGAGACACTCAAATGTCCCCACAAATGGTCTTTGGGTAGTGTGACAATAGAACTATTTCCTACAGAAATTAAATAACGTATTCTATTAAGAGAAAAAGGAGAAAATTGTTACAATAGATGTTGAAATTACAGGACAAGATACATAATAAAGGTAAAAACTATTGCAGTCCATAAATGTTTAGTTTAAACTTGCTTTGCTTTAGTCTTGGGAACTAAGACTAGTAATAGGACCATCTCAAATAAGCAGTTCCACTTTAGAGACAAATTTTTGCATAAAAGATAAATTACTTAGGGCTGAAGAGATGGCTCAGCAGTTAAAAGCACTGGTTGCTTTTGCAGAGGACCCAGATTCATTTCTTAGTATCCACAAGGAAGCTCACAAACATCTGTAACTAGTTCCAGGGGATACGATGCCCTCCTTTGACCTATGAGCCATGTATGTAGTGCACATTTATACATGCAGGCAAACACTCATTCACACTAAAAAATCCTTAAAAGAAAAAGACAAATTACTTAGTATTTTCCACATATTTGTAAACTTTATTATGAATATAATAATAAATGACTGTGTTAAATAATTAAAAAAGAAGAAAAGCAAAATATCATGAAAGGGAATGCTAATAATATGTGGCAATAGATGGTTATAGTAATCATTTCCAATGCCTACATTTATCAAGCCATGACACTGTATACCTTGAATGTATATAATTTATATTTGTCAATATCAATAAAGTTCGGAGGAGGAGATAGAAAACACGGTACTAAAATATGTTAACAATAAAAAAGTTTTCTCAAGTAACCATTGAATGAGGTGATCCCTTCCCCCTTCTTTGAAACAGAATCTTGATATGTAGCTCAGGCTGGTCTCAACCTCATTTTAATCCTCTTGCCTCACCTACTGAGTGCTGAGTTTATAGTTAAAGGCCACCAGACCAGGTGAAAAAGTGTTGGGAGCCGTGCTTGTCCAACGGGTCTCTAGGGGAGGCAAAATTCCACGGGGCTAGTCTCACTCGGCAAGGACCAGTGGACTTTGGGACAGCGCAGAATGCTGCTGGGACCGCGTGGCCTGCATGCTCTTTTCTCTTGTAATATTGGTGATTCTCTTGGTGGTTTTAGTATCATTTTGTCAATCATGCATGGGACAGATGTGATCATTCCTGGAAACCCCATTTTTTCTAGAATATTGTCCCCTAAAATTCTTTGGGAGCTGATGCTCCTCAAGGTTTCCTGTCTGGGGATGCCAGCTGTCGTTTCAGACCCGGGAGCTGTCCTGATTCAGTGCTCACAGGATCGGAGGCAGATCACCCCTATTTCTGTAAATGTGTTTTGAACAATATTGCTGTTCTTGAAAAGTGTGCCTATGTCAATCACCTTTTAGTTTTGTACAGACGGGATGTACCTGGCTTGATATTTGGCCAACTTAACAAAATGGTAAGTGTTTTCAGTTTAAGGATGTTTTGATATATAGGTAGGGAAAACCATACTTGACATATTTGTCTTTGCCAGAGGTTAAAGTTTGGAGGATGGGAAAAACTTGTTTGTTAGCATTGGAAAAACATGCTTATTTTTGATGTATAAATAAAGATGGCTGGGGCTATTCTGGGCGGTCACTTGTGTGAAACTCATCTGGTGGTCGGACACTTCATTTCTTCATGTCGACACCCCTTACCCATCAGGACCTGAACCCAGGCTGCAGCTGGACTGTGGCAAAAAAGATTTTTACTTTCTTCTTTACACTGTGTATAATTTGCTTTCTACAATGTATATGTATAGTTTTATAATGAAAATAAATTATATATATATAGTTTTTATATATATATATATATATAGTTTTATGATAAAAAAAAATCCTATCTTTTTCAGCTACTTACAACATGTAAATTCTTTGGCTGGATCCTAATGTAATCTAGCTCCCAAATGTTTTTCCCGACTGTATACTATTGAAGTCAAATGTTCTGTTTCAACACACTTTCCCTCCGTTTCTCCAACAGTACTTGTTTTCTCTTCCTGGAATGAGCTTTCTCCTTTTCTTTACCCCAGTTCGGTCTGTGGTTCAGAGGAGGCTTTCCTAAGGCCGAGGGAATCAGAATGTGGTGGTTACTATGCTGCCACATGTCACTCTTGGCGCTGTACTTGGATTTAAACCTCACAGTCACTCAGAGAGCCTAGTGTTAACCACCTTCTCAATTTCCCCCAGTCACCCTGGATTTTGTAGCTGGCTGGGTCCAGCTCCATCTCAGCAGGCTCCCCTGCCCCAGCCTCTGCAGCTTGCGGTTGAGTTACAAGCTTCATAGAAGTGTCTTCTAAGAGAAGAAATACTGCTTCAGTGTTATTGGGAACTTATAGTCTGTATTTCATCTTCTCAGCAAAATGGTCTCCTGGGGAAACTTGAGTTTAATGCCACCTTCTTACTTACCACTCTGTGTCCTTGGACAAGCACCTCAGTCTTTCCTCGTCTCGGTTTCTTTCACTGTAAAGTCATAAAGATAAGCTGTGTGTGGTGACACACGCCTGTAATCCAGCATTGGGGGAAGCTGAAGCAAGATGACTACAAGTTTGAGGCCAGCCTGGGTTACATGAGTCTGAGGCTAACCTAGGCTACAAAGCCAGAGTTCTTCTCATAAATAGATAAAATAAAAATACATAGGAAATAAAATAACACTCAACTCTTATGGCTGTTATAAGGGTTAAAAACCCAGTGTAAGCCACGTGTGGTGGTACACACCTGTAGTTCCAGTACTTGGGAAGTGAGGTCATAAAAACACAAGGAAAACAAAAAGGATTTTCAGCACATATATATCTGATGTTAAAATTATTTATTGTTTTATTCCATTTTCCAGAAATGCTCTTGACAAGAACCCCAAATTTGGATTCTACCTAATACTGAAAATAAAGTTAGGGAGGCCAGTCACGGTGGCTCCTGTCTGTCATCCTAGCACCCCAAAGACTGAGATAGCAGGATCAGTGAAATTCCAGGCCAGCTGGGCTATAGAGTGAGAGTCTGCCTCAAACACAAAACAACAAAAAACCACCCCAAACCATGGTGGTGAGGTGGCTCAGCAGGTAAAGTGTCTGTCACCGGGCCTGATGACCTGAGTTTGATCAACAGGCCCCACAGTGTGGACAGTAAGTGATTTTGGCAAGTTGTTCTTTGATGTTTACAAGTGTACCATGGCACACTCCTACTGTATAAATAAATGTAAACGCAAACAAACACACAACAAAAACCCACAGAAGCAAGAAGAAGGTTAGGTAGGCTGTCGGATCTCTACGACTGTAGAGTTTGAATGTTCCACCCCTGTATTTTAGTGGATATTAACCTGTTTTTTCTCAAGCGTTTTAAAAGAATGGTACCTCACTCTTTTCATGCTTTTCTATTTCTAACTCACTGAAATCTTAAGACTGCAAGACTGCTTTCTGTGAAACCACCCTCTGCCAGTTCCCTGTTAAACCAAAGACAGATTCAACAATCTTTACAGAGGCCATCTTCATGAAGGGGACAGTTGCACTGGGTTTTGTTTGTTGCTTGAGACAGGGTCTCCCTTTATAGCATAGGTTGGCTTCTAACTCTCAACCGTCTTGCCATGGTCTCTTTTAAAGTGTTTTATTGTGTATGTATGTGATGAGTGTACACACACATGCCACATGTCGGGTGTGGAGACCAGAAGACAAATGGAAATCAGAAGCCCACTCTCTCCTTGTGGGTCCCAGGATGGAACTCTGGTCAACAAGTAAAAAGTTCTGGTCCATCAGGCTGGTCAGCCACAGCTTCCTGAGTGCCAGAATTATCTGTGTACCATCACACCGGCCAGACCAGAACATTAAAAAAAGGAACATTTCCCCCTTCCTTTGTTTCCCTCTGAGACGGGGGTCTCCTTTTGAAGCTTAAGCTGGTCTAAAACTCTCAAAATCCACCTGTCTTGACTTTAAAACAAAAACAAAAAACAGGTATATGTCATAGCTTTCCATATTTAATTCCAACTAAATATTTTGGTGCTCCTATTTTATGCTAAGAACAACACTAAACTGACATGTCCTGAAGTGAAACAGTTTCTTTCATGTTACCGGATTGTAAGATCTCGGAGCCTGTTTTGCTGGTATCCTAAGAGTTTGAGTTCTTTGTCGGCCTTTTGGGAATCCAACACTAACTCAGTCCTCTATGTGTTGGGCACTGTTTTAAGCTTGTTAACTCTTTCTGGGATTTTGTTGGGAACTGTTTTAATTTTGTAGGCCATTTTGGAGAAGAATTGATATCTTCACTACACTTTTTAAATACTACTATATTAGTTCTTCCAATCAGGTTAAATATTTTTCAAGAAAATCTTATAA